TTTGTAAACTGCTTTTAGATTCCAACGTCATAGAGGAAAGGAGGATGGCTGCACTCTTTCATTAAGGTTAAAGGTTTTTAATCACTTTTCCAGAATACAGGTATGATTGAAACAAAAACTCTTTTGAGGGTCTCAATAATTCACTTATGAATACCATACATTGAACTCTATAAATTCTCATATTAGAAAATCTCTCTTTAATATAGGTTATGATGCACTGCTGACCTGGTTACATCTGAATTAACACTTTACAATTTTATAGCACCTTTCATCACAGGGCTGCAAAGCATCCTGTGGAATTCTGCCTGATAATGCCCAAACGAGGTAGGAAAGTCTGGCCAATTTACAGAGGGTACAGGGACAGATTGGAAGGGAGAAAACATGAGGGGTCATCAATCCTCAGGAGTGATGGGAAGGGTGTGCTGGGGCTGGGGGTGAGTTTGGGGCTTAGCTGGGGAGAAAGTTCAGGTGCCACCACCCTCACCCTTCCCTCCAAAGCTGCAGCCTGGCTCCCAGCAGGTCCAAAAGACCTTTGCAAATTGCTCTGGCTGTTTATGCTATAAATATGCAAAGAGAGGATAAAAAGCCTCTTGACACACCCAAAGGCTGACTAAGAATCAAGGCTACCAAGCTGGGGTGTGTGGCTTGTGCTGCCCACATCCACTTGTATTTTCCAAGATTAAAACCATGTTCTTGGGATTCATTTTGGGATGTAGGCTGTAAAGCTTTATCTAACTTCACTGTTTCATTGTCATAAATTCCCTTCTCCCATCTGAGAGGGGAAAGCCAGGTATCCCAGATCTTTAAGAAAAGTTGAATATCTGCTGAAAATCCATCAGCTTGGGCAATGTGATGTCCAATGGACGTTTCAGTTCTGTGGCTAGAGGAATCCAAGCTGCTCGAGTTCTTTTGAGCCTTTATGACTTTAAAAACCATTCTGCATCTGTGCAACACTCCCTGGAGCAGAGCCAGCACTGGTGCCAGTGGCTGAGCACCAAGGACCTCCTCAATGAGATGTTTGGAAAATAAAACCATTAATCTTAGGGATTTAATATTTATATTGTGTTTTGCTATGTACCATCAATTACCTGCCTCCCCAAAGCACATTCCCAGCACCTTGCAACAGCTCTTCTGCCACTTGCTCCTCCTGGCATGTCCAAAATTGTTCCCTCTGAAAGCACAGCACAACAGAAAACTTCTGGAATGCTCCTTGGGATTTTGGTGGGGAAACTGAAGATAAAAAGGCAAATTCTTATAGCTTTGCTGCTGGAAGAAGTTGGTGCCAGTGGTCAGACTAAATGAGTGGTTTTTTTCCCTTAGGTTAAAAAAATCCACTTAAAAAAGAGCTGAGGACAACTTCCTAACAAATACAGTAATACTGTGCAAAACCATTTGACCTCCTCATCGTTTCCAAACCAATTGTTTCCTCCTGGGGAAGATGCAAAAGCAGAGTCAGTCCCACCTGCCCAGCTCTGTGCTGCTGGAGCAAAGGGATTTCCCTGTAAGGCAAAGGGGGGGATCCCATGGGGACTCCTCTGGCACATCACCCATGGCAGGTGTGAAGCTCTGGCAACGTGAGACAAGACCTGCAGCTCCCAGAGGCACAACACACCCATTTCAGTGCTCCCAAAACTCCTCTAGCCTTTCTCCTCACCAATGGTCTGTGATTTTTACAGACTTTTGGTGCTCATACACAGGTAAAGGAAAAAACCCAACAGTTAATGCTTGAGAGATCAAAAGCTCAAACCTTATTTCTTACACAGCATCTTACAAGGCAGGGGAAGAACTGCCAGGGAGCTGCTCCTTAATGAAGGCAGCAAATCTTTGTTTTGCCTCTGGATGTTTAAAAAGGACAAGAGGCCAAGGAAGAATGGGGAGGAAGCTGTTGTGCTGAGGGGAGCAAAGTTCCAGGCATGCCAGGGTTATGAGCACAGTAAGCACTGGCTGCAGGAGAATTTGTTCTGGCTTCTTTGGTTGTTAAGGCAACAGTGAAATTGCTGCTCAGGAAACCTGGGAGTTACTGAGATTGTTACCAAAAACCAATGATTTTATTGCACATTGCTGTGAGTCAGCCCTGGCACTGAGGCAGCAGCACAGCTGGGGACATGTGACAAAGGACTTTGCTGCTGTTTGAAGTGTCCAAGGAGCTGGAAACTATTCCAGAGAAATCCTGGAGTGTTTTTTTAAGCAGTAGTTGGCAGAATAATTCTCAAGGTAATTTGACTTCCTTTTGCACCCAGTTCTGTGGCTTTCAGGGTGCCCCCAGTTCTGTGGCTTTCAGGGTGCCCCCAGTTCCCTCCTTTAGTGAACTGAAGCAGGATGGAGCAGTGGGTTTGCACTGAGCACCTCCTGCACTGGGAGCTGCTGGAGGAACCCTGTAGCAGGAAGTTTTCCATTTTTCTTTCTCACACTCATCTTTATTGCTTCTCTGTCCCCACTGAAACTGCAGTTTAACACTGGATGTGGCACTCAGTGCCATGGTCTGGTTGGCAAGCTGGTGCTGGTCTCAGGGTGGACTTGATGATCTCAAAGGACTTTTCCAGCCCAGTTAACTCTGGCATTCAGCAGGACATAGCATGATTTTATTTTTTTTTTTTGTTTAAAACAGTATCTCAATAAATGTTGTGCGCTCAGTAGTCAGAAATGTTGACTACAAACAAGATTGTGTTCAGAACTTTGAGCCTGTGTGTATAATTTGTATATACTTTAATCCTTCAAGGTAATCCTTCTTGTGTTGTCTGTGTGAACTTGAGTTGAGCTGACAAGAAATCCCTCAAGAGGCAAAAACAGCCCAGGCAGACCCTGGGAAAAACAGACCATTGCCAAAGGGCCTCCAAGCAGGAGTGAGACAGAAACTAAAACTACTTACTGTGTTAATTATCACCATGGAACTGCAATGAAATGTTTCTCATGTCCCAGCCACCACACCAAAGGAGTTTACACCATGTTTAACAACTCTGCTCTCAGCCAGTGAAAGTTAAAGTGATTTCACTTGCCTATCTTTCATTCTCAATGCCTGCAAAAAAATTGGCCACAATTAAGGTGCTCCCAAGACAAGAAACAGTGAGGATGTTCAGAGGAAGCAAAGTGTTTCTCATAAGGTACAAACATCCTACGTTATTCAATGGGAATATTTCTGTTAAACTCTATTAAGGAACTTTGGGATTATTTTGCACACCATCCCCATCCTGCCCTCCCCACAAAACATCTCCCCCTGCCAGGCCATGGAGAAAGCAGAACCTTTGCTCAGAAATGACAGACACAAATGGGCTTTGGTCAGACAGAATCAGGGGCAGGTTTTACTTTTCACATAATTTTCTGTATTAAAAAATACATCAGTGAAATCTGTTACAGGCAGGGACAGGACTACCGAGTACACAACGTCAATAGACTACTTTCTGATTTTATTTTTGTTAAATTACTTTTGTAACTGCTAAAAAAATAATAATAAAAAAAAACAACCAACCAAAACAAAACAAAAAACCTGAAATATTTTTCAAGGCTGTTGATTTTCATCTCTTGAAATTTTAGTGACAAGCTCAAATATCAGACCCTTGTTACAGAAGATGGATAACTGACCAGAGCTAGATAAAAACCATATAATTCTCCTCTTCAAAAATAGCTTGGGTTGCCAGTGAATTTGTGACCACTGGTCATCAGAAACACACACCTAGAGCTTGAGAAAACAGAGATACAGACAGTATCTGATAATGTCCTGTCCTCCAAACACCACATGGGAGCTTTACTCTTCCAAAAGACTCAGTAACAGCCAAGCCTTAAAAAAAAAATCTCTTTCAATTTCCAACACTATGACTAAATCTCTTTGGGTGGGGCGGGATAAAAACACACATGGTCATTTTCTACCACAGTTCTGTAGTCAGAAGTAATACTGCATCCTTTGTACAACGCTGCCCGTGTTGCTAAGGTGGAAAGAGAAAGAGTGTGTGTGTATTCCTGCTCGAAATGACAAAGCCCTCTCTAGATTTGCCTTACAAAAGAATCAAAACCATAGGAGTAGGGAAAGAGGAGAAAGGAAAGCTGCCTTAAGGGAAATGAACTTTCCACGCACCACAGTATTCACTGGGTTATATGGACAGACTGCAGAGCTACTGGGCTGGGAAAGGAATTCTGCACAGAGCCCAGGGCATCCCTCCTGGACATTCCCCAAAGGTCACTCACAAGTTTGACCTGCAGCACCTCTTCCAACACAGCTGGAGTTGGTGTGAGCCCGGAGCTGGAGTCCAGCCTCGTGTGACCAGTTAAGAGCAGCCAGAGTTGTCCCTTGGGATGGCCAGTGGCTCCTGCCTTCCTAACATTTGATCCCAGTTTAAAAAAAAAAAAATTATAAAAGTGTAGGTGTGGGTGTATTTATAACGGAAGGTGTCTGTTTGTCTAAACCTCACCCCTTTCTCTCGGATCCTCTGGAAGAGCTCAAGGATCTCCACGTGTTCCTTGGCAGCAAGGGCTGGGAAGTCACCTGAGCCACAATCTAGCTCTCCATGCCCACCAGAGTGAGGGTAGATTTTACACAACCTTTTTTTTTTTCCCTTAGAAAGATCTCACAACTTATAAAAATCCTAAACAGATAAAGGATTTATGCACCAATCCAATGGGTGAGTTCCACTTGGATTTGTTCTGAGGATTGATCAGTGCTGCAGGACGTTGGGATTTGCAGCTTACACAGCTTGCTTCCTTTGCTTCCTTCCAGTTCCAGTTTGTACATCCACTGTGGTACAAAATCTGCCTGTAGGTGACGTTATCTTGGCTTATTTGATACACATTTTCCAAAGGCTGGACGTATTCACATTTTGGTGCTTCTGACGTGTATTCAAAGGAAAATACCCCACTGCAGTTAGTCTGATAACTCAATATCAGAGTCCTCTGATTTGACTTTGGCAAGTTCTTCGTGTACCTCCCTCACCATAAGAATCCTTGTTAACATGATGTCCAAGGTTCCTGGGTCTATTGGCAATGTGGAATACCAAATGGGGCTGTTGGGAACACAGGAGCGCTCGGGCTGCAGGTAGAACACATCACTCCTCTGCTTCACACTTTCAGAACTGCCAAGGCAAAGGAAACAAGGTTTAGGATGCATTTACAATCTTACCAACAGTTTAAGGGAGAATCAGCAAAGAAATCAAAGTTACATTGGCATGGCAACAGCGTTTCCACCTTCTTAAAGGGAACAGTTAAGTTATTTCCAGGTCACTCAGCATTAGTTGCTTACAAAGAAACAAAGAAAATCAAAATAACTTCTTTACAGCAGCAGTTCTTCAGTGTCACCCAATTAATGGGAGAGTGATAAATGGATTTGACATGCAATCTCTGAGTTAAACTGGTTCTGGGATTCCACAATTGTTGGAAATGACCTCAAGGCTCAGACTGGATATCAGTGAAAATTTCTTCCCTGAAAGGGCTGTCCAGCCCTGGCACAGCTGCCCAGGGCAGTGTGGAGTCCCTGTCCCTGGAGGGATTTAACAGCCAGGTGGATGTGGCATTTGGGCACATGGGCTGTAGTGCCCTTGGCAGTGCTGGGGAACAGCTGAATTTGATGAGCTTAGAGGCCTTTTGGAACCTAAATCATTCTAAGGAGGTGTTTAAGAGTGAGTAAAACCAAACCCCAGCTTGCCTGGCCCTGCTGCAATGCTGAGCCCATCTGCCTGAAAGCCTGACTGACCCCAAGGCAGCTTCCAGGCTCTGGTGGGGTTCTAAATCCCTCCTGCCTGGTTTTGGGATAAAAAACCAAAACAGCAAAGGGAATTTGTACTGCTGCCTGCACCACTGCAGAGGCTGAGCTATGGATTATGATGGGAGCAGGAAATGCTTCCCCAGCCCAAGAACAACTAAAAGCTTCTAATAATGTGCCAGTGAAGGCAAGGAAGGTAAGAAGAGGGAGAGAAAGAGTCTGGACAGCTGCCTCTCCCTCAGGAATGGGATGTTTGCAGTGAGCTCAGTAGATCCATTTCCGAGGGTGATTTATCTGAGTTTCAGCTGACACTAATGAGATGCTGCTTCATTTTACATGTGTATTTCCTTTGAAGAGAGAAGAACATCACCTTGCACCTGCTCAAGGATCTAACTGAAGTTTATACAGAAACAGAAGAGAAAAATGATTTATATCTCTGTCCTTGCTATAGTCTCCTTCCTAACTCCTAAACACAAGTTAATCTCATATCTCAGCAGGCAAAATTTATCAATTTTACCAAATTCACTCTTCTCCTGTACTCTTTCAGAAGGAACATGAAGCTCCTTGGGTATTAGTTATAATCTCCTCACAACAAGGATGGTGTATGGGAATTAGGGGAGATGAGAAAGCCATGGGCACTGTAGTAACGTCTCACATTTATATCAAAGAATTTATTTATTTTATTAAGAATACACTTCTCTCTGTAACTTGATTCAACATCAGTAACAAAAAAAAAATAAAAAGCTGTTTGGGGGTCTCAGAGCAGTGCTGCTGTTGGAATTCCTGTTCTGCTCCCACTGAGGGATTGGGAAAGCTCAGGCACAGAAGGTCTGAGTGGGCTCCTTGCCCAAATGCCTGTTCCAATCTACACACAGACCAAAACTCAAGTTCTGTCACTCACCATTTTGATAAGTAGAATTCATAAAGTCGGACTGGGCACCGGAGGGGGTTATCTGAGTTTTCAGCCATTTCCACTGCTGTGGGAACCTCCTCATCTTCACTGCGTTTCCTCTTGCCTACTGATAATTTATCTGGATACACAAAAATGGCATCACAGAAGCTCAGTGAAAAGCAGCACCTTCAGAAACAAGGCCTGGTGTCTCAGCCCAGCACCCAGTGGTGGCTCTGCATCACCCAAACCCACTCCTTGAATTGGTTCTGTCACATGTCACCACCCAACCATGGTCACCTGGGTCATCTGCTGGGTGGGCAGGGACTGCACATCCTACAGGCCAGGTCCACATCTAGAAAACCCACAAGAACTAGCAGGAAAACATGGAGGATAGAATTTTACTTTTTAAAGATAAATGCACTGGAACTATGAACTGAAGAAGCCCAAAGGATCAAAGAGTTCCCCTTTCCCAAGTGCCAAAATTAATTAAGAACAAAAATTGGTGTGTTTTTGCCTCTGAGTGCAAACCCCATATTGTTGTTCTCCACTGGGGCTGCCTGGTCTGTTCCCCACACAGACCCAGGACAAATATGGGAATTAAAAAGGCACAATAAAAGTCTGGACCTGCAAAACCCAAGATTGTGAAGTGCTGAGAAAAGAATTTCAGTAAAGGCCTTTAACTCTTGCAGCATTAATAGAGCTTTATGCAAGCTGAGGATGCTGTGAAAGACTATTAAACAAATTTGCAGCCAAATCTGTGACACTTTAAGTTTTTCCTGGGTGCCTTGGCTCTTTGAGAATTTCTCTTGAAAGCAGTGAAAAATACTGCAAATGTATATATGAGAATTTCTCTGTAAAGCAGTGAAAAATACTGCAAATGTATTCAGGATAGCAGCATATGCAGAACATATTTCTCCCCAATCCTTTTCAAAAGAGAAGCAGACAATCCAAAAATCACAGAATTCTCTGATTCCCTCATTCAGACCACACAAATGTGACTGCCCAAACACCAATGAGCAGAGAGCACTCACCTGATTCTACCTCTTGTTTTTGAAAGGGTGGGAAAAAACGTAAATATGTCATCTTAGTATTATACTTCAGAGTCCGGGTGCGCCTCATAACGTGGGCAAAGGACAGTTTCAGGTGCTCACTGACATTCTTTAGTTGGAAATATTTGGTGTTGAAGAACAGAAGAGTGTTCAACAAAACGATGGGGGAATATGCACCCAGCTGCTTACATTCCCACAAGTGTTCCTCTTCAATTCTTGAGAACATATAACCTGCAAGGAATGGGTAAAGAAAAAAAGAAAATAGTTATTTATGCATATAAATCCTTTTTCAGATAACTTCTATTAATGAACCACATATCAAGTCAAATTCACACCTATCATCAGCAATCAGAATATTGCATGGGCAAGCATGAGAGGGAGCATGGAGAACCAAGCTGTGGAATTGGATCTTGGATTTTCCAATACATGAAGAAAAGGATAAAAAGGAGCTGCAGCCAGCAGCAGATTCTCACTAAGTTCTAATTTCACTGTATTAAACCACAGCCAGCCAACTGCAACATGTAATGCCTACAATGTGAAGTATGAGTTTAAAATGTCCCATTTTGTGTATAAACAGCCCTTTGTGATTATCCTAAATCAGGAAAGGGAGATGTGGGGGCTCAGAAGAAATTTGTTGTAAAAAAATATTACAGTTTGCAGCAAACTATAGGTAATTGGATTATTTCAGTATGAAATGAAAAGTTCATTTTTCTAAATGAAAAGGCAGTTGTGGAGTTGCCAATATTATTCAAATTTCGCTGATACTCTAAAGGTGTTGTGTGCTCATAGGGCTGGTGTTCAGTTTTATAAACCACATAATCAGGCTTGAAAACCAAATAAAAGTATCTGCAGAATTTGGGAAGTCTTAATTTGGAGTTGAGACAAGATTCCAATGATTTGCTAATGTGATCCTCAAACTCACCAGGAGTATTTCCAGCACTAAAAGGGAAATATCAGCTGTACACAGATTTTGCAGTACCTCACCTCAAATACAGCATTAAATTCTGGCTATTTGTATTAAAAAAAAAGAGCTAAAACTTGAGGGATAAAGAAAACTAATGTGTTGAGTGCCAGAATGGAAATCCTTTCTTTCCAAGGACTGATCAGAGGCAAAGATACATTTAAGTGTAATTATAATTGGTAAAAACAGACATAAAATCCATGGTGTAGAGAGGGGAGATTAATGTGAGAGCCTCAGATCAGATTCTCTTCCTTTCCCTGAGAAAACATTAATTTATGATACAGCTTTGTCATGCAGCTATATAAAACACAAGAATTGTCCTACCATTTGGAAGAATTGTAGGTTCCCAGATTTTCAAAAGTTTTGTAAGTTCAATCATAAACCTGGAATAGGGCTCGGTGAAAATGTTATCTATTCTACCATTCTCAAACAGGTACTACAAGAGAAAAAAACAGGAAGAAAAACAGTTTATGATTATAGAACATTGAAGAGAAGATACAAAACATAAAATTCTTTTCCTTTCTTATGTCCCAGTGGCTTATGGGGCCAAAGACTTTGGTGAAATCTCCATAAAACAGAAAATCACATTTCCTGCAGGGACTGGGACCACTCCAATATGAAAGGAGAAATCTAGGCAAGAATTGTGGTTAATATTTCAGCTCTAGAGCTGTTTTCTGCAAAATCATCTTCCTCTAAGTATTTTTGAAATTCCTTTAAATATTATTCTGCCTATAAAAACCAGAATAGTTATTGAAAATTTTTTCTGTTGAAATGAACTTTACATGTTAATACCTCCTGACAAGAGACACAGGCTGCTGAAATTGCTCCACTTGCAGCACCAAGGAAGAAAAGTTCCTTAAACTTTTCAAGGAGCTGTTTAAAAAAGTTTTCTGAAAGGAGTTTGTATCAATGAATAAGTCAAATCTGTGACACAAAAATCCCTGATACTCTGAGAACTTATCAATGGCCCTTTGAATTTTAACTCTTTCTACATTTTGTAGCATAGCAAGGAAAAAATATTAAGATAATTCCATGTCTAATTAAATAGGTTTTATGTCATTTTGACTCTTTATCTCAAAATGAATTTCAGAAGAGGACCAAGCAGGCTGTTCTAAAGGAAACAGAAATGTACTGAACATGCAGTTTTAAACATAAATTAGCTTTATTCTAAGTTTGTACTGCTACTGTTGCAAGGCTGATAATAAGGACTTACTACATTATTTTTAATATTTACTAATTACAATACAGTTATTCCCAGTGTATTTTCTCTGTAAATACTGCCAACACAACAGGTATCTGAGAATCCCTCCTGGGCAACCTCTTCCACATCAAGTGATATATTGGAAGAGCTCTGTGCAATTGTTTTAACTCTAAACCATTCCATCTTAAAACAAGGATTTCTGAGGTGCAAATCTTTCCTCAACAGGAAAAATGATCCAAAAAAGTTCCAAATCCAAGTACTTATATCTAGGTAGAAACACTCAGCCCCAACATCACACTCCTAAAAGGACAGAAGAATTTGGTCAGTATGAAAATCCAGAAAATTGGGTCATATGTGGGATTAAAGCAAACAATGAAATTCTTGCCTCCTCTATGAAGCCCAAGCTGCTCTGTGGGGCTGTGGGTGTCCCATGAATGACCAGAGCAGCTCTGTGTTCCTCAGCAGTGCCCCAGCCCCAGAGTTACCTGCTGAATTCCAAGGCACAAGTATAAGATGCTGTCAGGGTCGTATTTTTCTCCGTTTGGTCTCCGCACCTCTTGAATAAACTGGCACAAACCAAAACTCAGCTCAGCAAATGTGCAGGAGAGAATGTCCTCCTTGAGCTTCACAGGATGAACTGGGGTCATGGAAATGATCAGAAAAATTAATTCAGCACATTAAATCTTCCCACTTTCCTTATTATTTCATGTAGGCAAAACTCCTAAATTCCTGTCTCATACATTAATTACTCTGTATGATTAAATGGTGAATTCCTTCCTATCTGTTGGCTGAGAACTGAATGATTTGGCCAATAAAACTCAGACCAGCTGCATGTGCAACCAGTGTGAATGTTACAATGAGTACTGAGGCTGCAGGAATTTGGAGTCCAGACATGTAAATATTTGGGAATCTGCTGAACCCAAAATGTGGGACAGCAAAGGCTGCAATGAGCTCGAGGTTGATAAATGGGTTTCACCCCTCCAGCAGCACTCAGGGGAGTGAGAGACTCAACAGAATAAAAATAAAAGACCCTGAGTATTTCTAACCATGAGTTGAGTGCAGCAGATCTCAATTCTTAAAGGAAGAGCTGAATGGGACATGCAGGTTTGGAAAGGGAAGCAGCACAACCAGGAACTGATTGATCAAATGATCTGCAATGAAATCACCAGGCCTGGCTGCTCCACACCTCAGAAATGCCTGCTTGGGAATCTTTCTGGGCACAGTTTCCTAGAAATGACTGTAATATTTATTTCCTTGGCCTCAAGAAGAAAATAGAGTAACTCATGTGAATACTCCTCTTCTGGGAAATAAAACCCAGCTGTTCTGATGGAGTGACAACAAAAATTCTAAGTAAGAGATGAAAAAGCAGATCTCATCCTAACTAGAATTTTTCCCTTTGCAGGTCTTTCTTATCAAAGTTCTGCCATGTTTAGTTCTTTAAACTGCAGAAGTATTTATTATGCTCAATTTTATTCCTAATTTAAATTCTCTGCTTGACTCTGAAAATTTGCCCACAAAACTCAGTGCAATGATGTAAGATCTGAGACCAGGGAAAAGGGGAGTTAGACACTGCCAAATCCCAGTTCTGCTGGGCTTTTGTAAAAAAAATAAATTAATCATTGGAAAAATAAACAAAATTGTATTTAATTGTCATTGTTATCTATCCCCTCTGTGAGACATGAGGAGTAATAACATTTCAGGCAGGTTGTAGCACAGAATGGGCAGACTTTTGAAATGTTTCTTTCCAGCTGTGAAGCCTAGAAATAAGGTGTTAAGATTTTCATGTTGGATCAAACAATTTTTTTACAGCAAACAGTTCTGCTGACCAACAAATACTTTGGGAATGTGCCAGCTACAGATAAAATGGATGGAGCCAAGTTGGTGCTGTCAACTTAGAATTATGGCCTGATAGATCTGTAATTTCATGGTTCTATAATAGCTCAGAAAAGCTCTGCAGCTGCATAAAGAATCTGTGCTGCAAATGAAGAACTACTGCATGCAAAGGGAGAAAATGTGGAGATTTCCAGTGCTTTAGGGACTTTTTTTAAAGGAAACAGATCAATTGAAAGTGTAATAGTTATGATTTTTAAATGCATGGAATGATGCAAGACAGAATTCTATAAAATTTGTTTTCTACTAATGGGCACTGCAAAACTCAGTGGTATCTAATCCTAATTTTCACCTGAACAATGAATCAAACCAAATGCTCTTCAACTAAGTATTTCTGTTTCCACTCAGAGACAAATTTACCTGAAAACTTCAGGTCCCCTTGTTCCTCCTGTGCATTTTTCCATTGGACCCAGTTTTTCCAGGCATTGACCCCATACATGTATTTGAGGGTCATGCCAGAAACAGAGCAGCCAGGGTAGGAGCCCTGCACCAAACCCCGGGGCTCCACAGCAACCACCGACTTCTTCCGTCCCTACAGGCAAACAAAGACACCCAAACAAAGCAGCATTTCATCAGCTCCTCATCCATGGCTGGTTAGATTAGTGGTTATTTCAAAATGGAAGGGATTTGTGTTGTAGAAATACTTCCTTACCCTTCTTTTTGGCTGGGGGAAGCCATCCCTGTGTCTCCGTCTCGCTCGTGAACGTGAATGCAAACCCGGTCCTTTACTGAGAGGGTCAAATGAGTCTGGAGTCAAATCAACACCATGAAGAGTTTAATCACATGATTTAGCAGCCCAGGTAGAAGTGTCACTGTCACTGATACTATGGAACACTTTACAGCTGACAATCACACTTGTATATTCAAGTAATCCTGACATTTGACTAATTTAGCAATCCGTGCATTTGCTGTATAAAGGTGGTAAATTCTCAGTAGGACAAAAAAGTCCCCAAAATAGTGGGTGGATTTATTCAGGTAAATATCTTAGCAACCACTCCACATGGATTATACCCAGGGATTATACCCACAAGTGATGAATTCAAAAGAGGTAAGCAAGAACTTCCTACTACTCCTGTCAGAGGTTGTCTTTAAAGACAGCAGTAATATTCTAACAACAGTAATATTTTATAGATGTGATCAACTATTTCAGCTTTAAACATTCACTGTCACTACATGAAAATGCACAAGCAGGCTGCTGGGACAATGTGCATGCAGAAAATTGTGTGTGCTTTTATAAAACAATGAGTTTTTCTTCACATGACACCGACCTGATGGGAAATCTGCCTCCAGATCCTGTTCCACATCACCTTTGGAGAACGGCTTGAGCTCTGGCTCAGGCTCTGGCAGGGCATTGGATCTCAAGGTGTAGTGATTCAATTCCTCCTCCCAGCTGTGAGGAGTGGACACTGCCTCTGATTCCAGATCTCCACTGTAGGTGCTGCCCTGGTCTGCAACGAGAGGGACCACAGGCACCATGTGCTACAGGAAAGGCAGAACCAGGAGGTTGCAAGAAAAGATGCAGCAGGATCAAAATCCATTTGGAAAATCAAGAAATCTGACTGACCTTTCTCAAATATCTTGGGGTCCAGGAAGAGCTCGTGCTCAGATGTCTGAGATCCTTTAGAAAAAGAAAGAAATCTGTATCTACACAGTGATCTACACTGTATCTACACAGTATCTACATGGCTGACAGTTTGCACAACTGATATAAAATATTTTGAACAGCAAAAATCTCTGTATTGGGTCATAACACGAACAGATATTCTGTGCCTTCTCCTCCACTGCAGCTCTCCTAGCAGCTTTCCACCTTGGTCATGTCATTGCAGGGGAAACAGAAATCACAACTAATGTAGGTTTGCTTTTCCAAAGGCTTCCATCCCTCCCTGTTTGTTATCCAGTAGGATATTTTGTTTATCTTTCCAGCTTGTTTCACTTTCATTACATGGATTGGTTGCTCTCCAACAAACTCTGATCTGCCTCACCCTCCATAAAAAGCCTGATAGGAAAATTTTCTTTCAAGGCAGCTGCTCTGTCTTCTTGATTTTGACTCTTCCTTCTAACACATGATGATCTGGAGGTTTCCACCTCTGGTAACCTGTCCCTGTCACCACAAGTCAAATCAGCATGTAGAATGAGGGAAAGGGAAATTCTGTGGTGAGATGACTTCACCTCACTGCATTTCACATCCTTTTCAAAACCACCACCTACCACCATGAGAGTGTGTTTTATCCCTCTCTGCATCTTCTGCAATCATTTCTGCCATCTGAAGGAGATCAGCTTCAAATGGATTAATGGGAATCTTTTCCTTGTTTTCCTGAATGTTTTCAATGATCTTATCAGCATTGTCCGGGGTGGTTGGGATGAGCATGGGAACTGGTACCTGTGGAACATGTGGAAAATGTCAGAACATACTTAGGGGTGAAGGAAACAGCAAATACACCTCAGGAGGTCCCTCCATTTAGCCTTATGTATATTTTAGGACTACTAAATGAAGTTAAAAATAACTCCAGACTGGACAGCTCTGTACTCTCCCTACAATTTGGTCGTTTTTTGAGATAATGTTTAACCAAATATGATGTAATAAGGAGGGAAATGGCTTCAAGGACTCCAAATACCACTTGCATGAGCAGACACAGCACCCAGTGACACAGTGAAGCACTGCCTTCTGTAGTGAACAGCATCATAACTTACACATAACTGCAGCATAACTTGCACAGAACTGCAGCATAACTTACACAGA